TGTTTCACATTTGCCGTCTTATGATAAATGAATTCATGTAAAGGAACAACTGCCACTAGTTTCTGCACTTTTGTTATATCCTGCACTGAATTTAACCCAGTAAAATACCTGGTGATAACTATTCATAGATGGTAGAGAATGCTTCTTTTACTGTACCAATCTGTCATACATGTATGTACCTTCAAGCTGTTATTTCCCAGATGTGTTTCCTCAAAAACTTTGTTGTCTCGATCTTCTTTTGGGATGAGCCCATCCTCAGGTTCTGAGTCTGATAATGAAGACAAGTTGATGATTTCCTCTGACCCTTCACTGCTGTCTGAGAATAATTCTTGTTGTGATTCTGGCTCTGTGACAATGTACATAGCAAACCACAAATAAAACCTCCTATATTGTACATCAAAATCCACAAAGAAAGTGACCCTGATATTTTTCAGTCATTTCATTTCGAATTTCAGGTGGCTCATAGTACTCTAAATCATCCTCTGCTTGGCAATCTACCTCCGCTATACTGTCTAATGAAAGAAGTGAAATACACACAAGTCTGATTTTTAACTTGGAACCAGATTTCCACCTGATCAATTACATGTAGATTACTGTTTGTGCGGAGTTCATTATTTTTAAGGTGGCTCAAAACAGTTCCCAAAGTATCAGGGTTTCAGGGACTTTCAGGGACAAAAATGGCAGGGTGAAATTTTTTTGTATTATATAATTTTAATAAGCATGATAAGATGCAACTTTTGGCAAAGTTTTAAAAAAAATCTGTAAATAGGGTTCAGGGCCACCTTAAAGTTTTGAAAATTTAAGATGACTTTACGTACAGAATTTTTTAAAACTTTGCCAAAATTTGCGTCTGATCGTGCTTATCAAAATTTGATAAAATAAAATAAAAATTCACTGTGCCGTTTTTGAATTATAAGCATCTAAAGCTGTCATTAAGGATGTTTTTAGAAGGTCATACCGTTGCTGTGGTAAGCTATTGCAGTGTTGGAAATAAGCACTCGCTCATGTGAGTGTGAAAAGCGTAGGGCGAGTACAAATCATCAATCACTCGCCNCTGCTAGAGCAAAATAATAGAAGCCTAACATAACAATATCTTAACAGACCAAGTCTTCCTGTGCCTTTACTGCTCTTTCTAGCTGCATTATCATCTTTCTGCCTCTTTCCTCTTCTTGATATAAAATCGTACAGGCGCCCCATCTTTGACTTGTGTTTGTTTGTCTCCATTTTTTCTGAGAAGTGCTTTATTTGCAACATACCATCATTATTTGGGCGGCTTTTCTTGGTCACTGGCGCATCAGTGACCTCAGGCCTTTGCCGTGGTGGTAATGGAGGAGGTGTCTCCTCTTCTTCCTCTTGGTCTTTTTTATCCCTTTCAACTGCAACCGCTTTACTGTTGTGGCCTCCACTTTCTAGAACATAGTCACATAATCAAGTCAAGTTAATCTTTATCTAAACACAAATAGTACCATATTTACACTAAGGTCTTCCTAAGAGTCCTGTTACTTCATGTTAGCATACATTCACTACAGAACTACTACACTAAGAAATATAAAATGTCATTTAAAAAATAAAACCGTAAGTCATCAACACATTTTAAAGAACCAAAATGTGCTTTTTGGTATTCAAAAACACTGATACAATCGAGTTATCGGCGTTTGAAATCAGATTGATCCAGGCAGCAAAGTCCAAGAGCTGTTCTTGCCCTAAAAATAATCCTCTCGTGAGTTGTGGCCCATTTGTCAAGCATTGCCAGCGTCAAAGTTTGGAAAGCAAGAACTGATTTTAAGCCCGCGCCAAACGATCGCAACAAGCCAACGCAACATATCGTAACATTGTTGGGCGCAACATGTTGTGCGCGTTTGGCCACCCTGTTGCGACATGTCAGTTGTTGTTGGCTCAAATTTAGCTATTTTCAAACTAAGCCAAAAACACCCAACATGTCGCAACAGGGTGGCCAAACGCACACAACATGTTGCGCCCAACAATGTTACGATATGTTGCGTTGACATGTTGCGATCATTTGGCCGGAGCTTTAGACTTATAAAATAGGTCTTGCATTGACCACCTTTTTTACCCATGCGCGAGTTGAAGAGACCCTACCCAGCATGTATTGCGATCATGCTCAATGGATGTTTTGTGGTTTTCGTGGCCTGGTAAAGAGCAATCTAAGTAAGAGAAAGTGTATTTTTGGAAATTATTGACACAAGGAGTCCAACAGATAATGGCCAACAAGTAGTGATCAATTGACTGCTTTCGTGCAAAAAGGGCGTATATCGCTTTTTGGGCCGATTTTTATTTTTTGCAGGATTGAGCTAATTTTTGGCAGACTGACTTGTTTTGACATGAAAAGCGTCGTTCCGTAATTGCGCTTCGTTTTTGCGAACTAACGTACGCAAAAACACTCAGTTTTCCAAGCGGCATCTTTTGGAGCGAATCCTTCCAAGGTGGATTTCGATATGACGCCAACTTAAACGGTTACTTTTAGCAGCTTCGACAGCAC